GCTCCAGTTTGAAATCAGACTAAGCACTGACATTTTGCCCAAGGCAATATCAGGTCTTTACCAGAAAAGAGATAACGGAGATAAATGAGTGTTGGAGAAGTAGCAGAAAAATGTAAACCATCCCTTTTCAACCTCTGAAATGGAGCCTGAAGCCAGCACTGCTCTGAACTTCCACAGGCTGTGAATCACATTATAATAGAAAAGTTTCTGTCTGTACTCTTCCCAGTAATCTCTCAGACCATCAAGATATTTTTTTTTTAATTCCACTTTGCTTGTTCTCCTCCCTGACCCCAGCCTGATCCTTCTGTTTCTTCATGGATATATCAACCTTCTGATTATTTCTATTTCTCTGTCTAAGGCTACAACTCCTCAGTCTCACTTCTACAGGAACATTTTCTAGTCTGAGATTTGTTCTAGTGCTGGCTTCCAACTGGGACAGACTTTGAAGAATGAGACATAGCTGCGACATTTGATGTAGCAAATGCAGCTTAACCACAAGGGACAAATTGAACAGAATGCTTTTTGTGCTGGACTGCAGGTTAAACTGGGCTAGGACCTGTGATAGCTGCAAATGTGACAGCAATGGTAGAAGTACTTACAGACAAAGAAAGGCATGAAAATATGAGAAGATAGTGGAGTAAAAAAGTTTAAAAAAAAGAAACCCCATGAAAAGGGTCTTACAAAGGAAACCTATCAGCTGAGAATCTGATATGGGAAGGAGGAGTGCAACTTCCTTTTCAGTTGTGAGGTTCTCATTTTTCTTTCACGTCTCAAAATCTTCCATGCTGCCAGGGCTGATTTCCTGGGCTAAGAAGCTGAAGATCTCTTTGGAGCATTTCTGAGCTCCCAGGAATTCTCAGGTTATCTCCAGTGCTTCCAGTGTTCAGCACAGCCTTCTTTGATGGGCAGAGGGTGAATGAACAGATGGGGAAGGCTCAGTAACCTATTTGTGTCACCCTCTGGAAACAAGGAGCTAAAAGGACCAGTTTTTATGTGGCAAAACTAAGGACAGGGTCACACTGTGATTAAATGGCATCAGAAATCACCTATGCTGAGGTGAAATTCAAGAATGAATCACCGGCTCCAGTGGTCAAAGGTAAGGAATGAATGGGTTATTTGGGAGAAAGGGAGCTGGAAGGAATGGGGCTGAAGAAGAGGGAATGGAGATTTTTCCTTCTGTGACACTGGTTCCTACCTGATCTTGATGGATTAATGAGAAAAGGGAGCTAAATGATCAGGAGACTGAAGGAGTTTTGAAATAAGAGTCTTGAGGACCGTCTCCAAGAGGAAAGGAGAATGGGAGTTACAACATGAACAAGAATGACTATTGGGAGCACAAACTGTAGGTTTCAAATGAGCATTCATTAAGGAAGCTGTTTGGGCTCCCTCAGTACCCTACATGTTATGTAGTCCTGAAAGAGTAATTTTTGGACCATGCTGAGTACCAACAGTAGAGACTGTGGTTTATTATAAACAGTCTGATCTGTCACAAAGGTGGAGGGGCTCCCAAAGCAGCAAATAAGCCCAAGTGCCGGCTGCTCTTGCCTCTGAGTCAGACTACAGATTGCTGCTTGTGGAGAGGGTAGGAGAATCAACATGCCTGCTTATAGTAGAGCAGTCAGTTGTACTCTGCAGCTTCATGAGAAGTGGTACTGGCTGCAGAAACATAACCCCATCGTCCATGGCTGATTGAGAAAGAGTCCTTGGAGAAGAGAGACCCAAAACTTGAACAACCTGAAATATACAGAAGAAGAATTATTTAAGATCTGAAGGGAGATCCAAATCTGTTATTGATGTCTTCCACTCCTGGAAAACATTTAACACACTCAACAAACAATTTTTTTTTCCTATTAAAAATTACAGGGGTAAAATGGTTCTTTTACTAGACTGCTTGCAAATTTAAGGCATATTCTGGTCAGTAGGTACTCCATAGTCATTATGCCACAAGTAGGAACTCATTGAGATGTTCTGTGTAAGGCTCACTGCTTCTGCCCGACACACAGGATCCTACACAACAGCAGATTCCAGGGCAGTAAAAGTATGTGTGCATAAATCAATGAATGATGATTTTTAAAATGAAATAAATAATTACTGCTGCCTAAGGGTATTAGCTTGCCTATTTACAGTTTGACCTCAGTTTTACAATCCCAAACAGAGAAGGCATCAGCTCCAGGTTATTCCTTGCCTGCTCTGAAACATGAGTCAGAGAAATAAAGAGTGTACGTAGTCACATCTGACTTGAAAGCTCATTGTTTTCAATGCACCAAGATTAGTTGGTTCTGGATGTAGTTAGCATTTCCACTGTGATGAGGTGGGGTGGTGGAAGTTCCCCATCATTCCAAATGATTATTCCAAAGACATCAAGTCTGTTGTGTTGTGATCATGCTGGACGTGTTACAGATCACAGACCAGCTGTGGAAAGCATTTTGCAGGGAGCTCAAGATTACTGCACTTCAATTGTGTTGCTGAGGTGCACAGCATGCAGTGCTCCCTGTGCCACCTGGGTGTGAGTGTGGGATGCTCAGGTCTGACTGGGCACAGGTTGAACAATCTCTAGATGTGCTGAATATCAAAAAAATCAGTTGGACTGGTTAGAGCTACTCTGAAATTGGACTCCAGATCATGATGAGGGCTTGCTTTCACTAAGGAAAATGCTTTGGCTAGAAAAGCATGATTTGACCAGGGAAACGTGGACCTTGCCTGTCCACACATATTTCCTCTCCAGATAATGAAAGATGATGCCTTTTGCCCTGCTGTAGCAGTCTCTCCCAAGCCTTTGGGAAGTAGTCAGAAGGCTTCCACAAAGAGCACGTTTCTGACAGTCTTGCTTACTAGGCATGTCTGGCAGGCACACTTCATGCTGAACAACGAATGAAGGCTCTCTAAATCTTATCATTAATAGCACTCTCTCCCAAAATGTCTTTACTCCTGTCCTGCAGTGAGTGCTGCTGTCTGTTTACCCTCCTGTTTGCCCTGGCTTGTGTACCTGCCACAAGCTAGAACAATCCCCTAACACGTGTTTGCTTCTCCTTCCCCGTGGCCCATTCTCCCGCCTGCTCCCAAACCTCCTCAGTGCTGGCAATATCCCTCTAGACAAAAGCGAGGTCCTGGCAAATCTTAATCTGAGTACTTTACTCAGGCTGCTGGACACAGACCTCTGTTCTCCCCAGACATCCAGCCTAGCACAACCTAGCTTTATTACAGCAAATCTTTGGATCCTGACGTGGAAAGCAGAGATGGAAGGAAAAAACAGATCTTTTAATCTCCCAGTGATGATGTGCCATCATAGCCTTGCACAATTTTTGTCTCCCATCCTCACTCAGATTACACCACCTTTCTGCACAGGAAGTCCAAAATACTAAGAAAGAACTGAAGCAGGCTGAGAAAGTTTTCTGTGAAGAAATCAACATGAAATCTGCCCTTGTATGTCTCAAGTATCATGGTTTGAGCAATGTTGGATTTGGCAGCTTTGGGCTCAATCTAGAAAGACGTTGTTTCACTGCAGATTTTGGGGTCCTGTGAAGGGTCACCCCCAAACACCAACAGTTGTCCTTGTTGGCACAGTGGCTGGGCTGGGAACACCCTCAATGAATTTGACTTTTCTCCAGAAACCATAGACATTCCCTGCTCTGTTCCAGTCTGCCCTTCTCCCAAACCTTGTAACTTCCATAT